GTCGTCAGTCATAAATATACTAGGATAACCAGCATGACCAAAACCTTCATTGCCTAACGTTTCTTTAAGTAAGTTGAAAGCTAGAGTATAATTTGCTTCTGTCTGAGAAGTATGTAATATACAAGCTAATGGTATAGCACCAATTTTAGAAGCGCAAAACATAAACGTGACACATGTATTTGTTTGGTCACAGGAACCACTAGAGTCCACAAAAACTATTTTTCAACTATCAATCAGAAGACGACGATCAGAACAAGACGCTTTTCTGCATATCTGTCCTTCAACGTGTTAATGGACCTTGTGCACCAGTTGTTCACTATCTTTAAAGATGTTTTGAGAGCCAATGGTAACCTTCTTTGGACAGTTTATAAATCAATAAACCATTCACCAGCTTTTAGCTCGCATGGACTACATTATAAACAGTTAAAATGATGACTATGTTGAGGCAAAATGTGATGTTTTTTCTTACCTTTAGCACTTTTTTTATATTGACTTATCGCATAGAAAAGATTCATATTGTCCTTGACCATTCCATCGAAGAAAAGAGACTTTAACCTGGGACATTGTAATATTATGGCAAAAATTACCTCATCCAGATTTTCCTGATTGTTTCGGATGTCCAATTTTACCGTTTCTAAATCAAATAAATGAAACACAAAAAATATTATACCTACTAAAAAAGATTTCAATTATTGCATACCTAAAGTCTTGTGGTAATTATTAATCAGCCTCCTTAAGGTACTCTCAAAATTTCTGCTTATTTTTTGATTACATTTGTTACTGGATATTATAATAAATGAATTCAGCGGTATGTTATCCATTAGAAATATGAATTCAATTTGTTCGTGGTGACAAATGTTTCCTGGAGAATAAAAGAAGATCAGAATTTCCTATTATTTGTAGGTGCGTATGTGGGTGCGTATTGCAGGTTTGAAATTTCTGATTCACAAAGAAAAAAATAGATACACTCGATTCACTTCAAGTTGTGTCTCAGGCAACTGTGAATCTGTGATGTAAGTTTCTACTTCATTTTAAAGAAAATTAGTTTATTTTTAGTTATCAGATTTAGTGATCCTTTCCTACTTTTTATAACTACTGGAACAGTCCTCTTAAAAACTTTAAATCGATGACCTAAATTAAAACATAGTACCCAACACAACCTCCTGGAATAACAACTTGAAGTGAATTCAGTGCATATTTCATCTTGTTCTTGCTCTGAACTGGTTCTTTTAACTATAAGAAACATGATTGAAGATCTTACTTATTTTAATAGAAACTTTTATATCTGGGCAACATTTCTTCAGTCTGTTCCACTTTCTGGCTGGTATAACGACACTGTGGAGATCAGTTTTTGAAAACTATTTCTCTAGCAAAATCTTCGTTATGAGCACGCATCATTATTGGAGTAAGTATAATCACAATAAGAGGGTTTTCCTTTATGACTATATTAATCTGTTTTTAACCGACTTCAAAAAAGGAGGAGGTTATCAATTCGTCGCGATATTTTTTAACACGGTGTCCGATTTCAATGATTCTTTTTTTGTTAGAAAGGGGGTACTGCAGGGGTGGTCCCATATAAATTTAGTCTAAATCTAATAATTGGGTCCATGAGAAAATCCTCAAACTCTTCATTTTTATGTATGTTTAGTGATAATGCTTTACCACCTTGTCCGATTTATATGATTCTTTTTTTGTTAGTAAGGGGGTACCTCAGGGGTGGTCCCATATAAATTTGGTTAAGATGTGGTGATGGCATCTGCACGTTTTTGAAGTCGGTTTTTTTTAATTTCTAATACTTGTTCTTTCTTGTAAAAATCAATCTTTTCTTTCAAGACCTTTATCATTGAATCTTCATCTTTACCTCCAAAATAATATTTGCCTACTTTGAGAAGACGGCAAGTAACTTTAAGTATACGTGGTCATCTTCAATGCCTCAAACTCTATTATACACTCAACTTGATGAGTATACAACTTTTTTAAAGATATTTTCCTCACATATAACCTAACATTCCGGCATAGCTTACCTATATAATATAGTCCGGAATCATATAGATTATATACTCATTAAAGACCGACACAAAAACTCCGTAATAATGAAATAATAAAATTAAAAAGAAGAAGAAGATAGCTTACCTCCAAATTTCATATAGGTGTTTGACTTGACGTTCTGTAGAATTTTGCTGTGCATTAGCTAATACTAACGACAATTTAGTATTGTTTGTTTCGTGGCAATTTTCCAACAACATTTCGTGGTAATTCCTTGCTGTGGCATTTGTCATACCTTCATTAAAGTATCGAAAAAATGTTTCTCGCACCTCTGGTACCATTCTTAAATAGCTAAATGCTTGAGCTACGTACACTCGGTGGGAATGTTTAAATGTAATCTGAAATATACAGAATACTTTAATACACCTACGGTGTTTTATAATCTAAAAATTGACAAAAGAAAACAAATTAGTAATTTTACCTACTAGCGTGCGGTAATGTGCACTTTCCCGCTCTTATTTGAGTGCAGAAAGTTATTCTTTACCGCACTCAAGAATTTTTCAAAATAATATGTCTTTAATGGGTAGTAGGTAAAATTAGGTACCTAACACATGCGTAAAGTGCCTTTACCGCGCCGTCGTGCAGTAAATTATAACTATTACTAGAAATCATTCGTATAGTAATACAGAAAAAATCCACTGACCTTCATACAACCGCAATATCCATCCTTCAAATATCTGTCGTTTTTTATAGTATTTCTATTAACTAATTTAATCAAAAAGTCAATTGTAGCATTACAGTCCTTATCTCTAATTCGAATGTCTTCCCTTTTTCTTCTTTTTACTTTGTTAAAACTGCTATGTTGGCATTTGAAAACCTTCCGATATATGTATCTTTGGGCTGATGGATATGTATTCGCGATTCAAGCTAAGTGATACGCCCTCTGGAGGAAATTTATAGAAGGTCCGTATAAGTAGGATATCGTTCAGTGTTGCCAGAAGTAGCAAAACTTCGCTACGTCTTCGGATTTTAGCTCTTGAAGAAGTGGATAAGACCTTTTATTTAAGAATCAAAATTTGTGTATGGTACTATGTAATCATACTCTATATTTATTTAAGGATTTTTTTGTAAAACCGATTTATTATAATGATTTTTTTTAAATTTCAGTTCATTTATTAATTTTGTTTTAAAATCATTCATCATTTGGCAACATTGGCGTTCGTGTTCATTGTTTACATTTTAATTTGTGTCAATCACAATTCGAGTTTTTTCTTACTTTTTAACTTTAAATTTGTTTATTTCTTATAGTATGTGATAGTGTTTATATTAAAAATGAAATCTGCGAAAAAGTCCCCAGAAAATTGCATTCTATATGGTGTTAATTTCAAAATCAAAACTGAAGTATACATTATTTTCCAAGTGCAAGTCGTAAAATTTTGTTTTTTACGATAAATGGTTATCTACAAATTCACAATATTGAAATTGTAAAAAACTGTAATCTGATTTGTGACGGTTTTATTACCATTTACATGTATACAAAGTACTACATGATTCACTTCATAATATAAGAATAAGTCTAGTAAGACTTTTAAATAAGTTCATCAATAATAAACGTGTGGTACCTGAAATGTCCTTTAAACCACATAATAAAATATGTCCTGGGTTTAGTGAATACATATTTCTAGATGTTCTTGTAGCAACCAATAGGTGAATATTTCCAACAAATTAAGTCATACACATGATAAATATTATATTTATGACGAAAGCACGAGACTTAAACTTAAATTAACACTAAATGAAACTCAGAAACACTATTACAATGAGAACATTGTATAAAAACAGTTAAAAAAATCACAAATACAAAATCCGCCCCAAACAAAAACATGTAAATAAACAAACATCCTACTTACAGGTGACAAATGACAGGCGCGCGAAAATTAATTTGAATCGCCAATAGCGCACAATCCAGTTGGTGTTTGTTTTATGACTGAAATCTGCCAACCAATTATTGTACCAAGCGCTGTTATCTTCATTATCTGCTTGTTTAAAACGAAGTACTGCAATAAAACCATTGTCGACTAGCTCTAAATATTCTATTAATAATGAATCACTACTCATGTTAACCAATACCGCCTTATAGTCCATTTTTATTGAGTTTAAATTAAATCTCAAAATACATAACCAAACTTTCCGATCAGATGTTTCCAACAAGTGTGGCGTCTGAATCGCAGTATAAATTGGCAGACACTCGTGCCATTTATTCAGAGTCATTATATACTGTGTTTCAGACCGTTATAATAAAGTCGTGCTCTGAATCACCGTACAGATTATCTTTTGAAATTACGCCTAACGTAAAGCCATAGTATACTGCGATTTAGACTACAACTGCTCTGAATAATAGTACATTATGCTTTTACGCGACCCGGTATACTTCGAAATCAGGACTATAGCACAAGTAGAAGTTGGAAAGGCTTTTGCCAGTTTTCCCACTTTATAAACATAAATTGACAGGTTTGCGGCGGATCTCACCGAAGTGGACGCGATATATTGGCGTAAAAAATTATTTTATAGATGTTAATAACAATTTCGAGTAAATAGATTGTGAATAGCTGTTGAAATTTTGTAAAATTATGACTTGAATATTATAATACATATTTAATAATTATTTATAGTCTATAAATACATGCGATTGTCCGGTTCCGCCGGTAGCAATTTAAAATTACTTATTCTATATAACGACACTGGCAGGTAAACATTACTGCGAAATTCTCGAAACCGTCCGACGTGGTTTGACGTTTACCCTCTCTCTACCTATCAAAAGCCTTTCCAACTTCTACTTGCGCTCTACACAGTACATTTAAATATAAATGGGTACATTTTACGATTATAAAACGACAAACTGGAAAGAGTATAGAAATATAATCGACCTGCACTGCAAAATAAACAATTACATCTTTTCCATTTACCATGTGTTTGTAAATTTGCATAATTAAGTCAAATTCTTTTGTTTTTAGAAAGGTGCGGCTCCTCGCTATGGCAGATGCATAAAAGAGGGCCACATGTGAAGCAGAGAAAATCTCGTAATCCATTTGACGGCAATCCCTTTATGAAAGGAGTTGTCTTAAAAACGTTAATCCGAAAACCGAAAAAGCCAAATTCTGCAAACAGAAAATGCGTACTGGTTAGATTATCCAATGGTAAAGAAATGATCGCGTACATACCTGGAATTGGCCATAATTTACAGGTGAGAAAAACATATTTAAGACCTTTTTAATCTAGCATAGGCGGAGAAGACAATACAGGTATCTGAATGGTATGTACAGAACTTGGTCCAGAGCAGTCATACGAATCAATATTTGATCTAATTTTGCTCTTGCTCTTGTAACGAAAAAGCTCGTTGGTGTCAATTTGCTACGTGATACTTACCCTCGGCCTAGCTCAACAGGGTCGGTGAATTCGGGCTTAGAATTTACTAACAAACCAATGGCATCATCTTTAATTAAAAAGACAAGAAAGCGTTCTATTAATGGTTAAGGACGCCATGTATTTAGATGGTAAATAAATACAAATTATGCCATTAATTGAAAGTAAATAAATTAAAAGAGTTAAAATATAGTGACTTTAATAAGACTGTTAAACAACTTCCAATTAAAAAATTATGATATATAAAAAAATCAACTGGTTAGACTAAATTAAATTGAGCAGAATAGACTAATAATTTAATTAATAAAACAAAACGTGACTCGATAGATTTATGTAAAAATGTTCGGATTAATAGCGGCTGTTCTCTTGCTTGGACACCTTTACTATACAGCATCTTTTGTAACTGCTTTACCTCTTTAGTACGGCTTTACTGTTTTTCTTTTTCCCTCGAGGTTTCCTCTTTACTTTGCCGGTCTCCTCTTTTATAATAAAGAAAAAAACACGGTGTCAGTTACTTATATTAAAAAAAAAAAAAAATTCCATCTCTTAACATGTGTTACACAAAAAGAAAGTACAAAATAAGTACATTTAATATAAAACAATTATTAACATTGCAGTATTCAGTTACCTTGTTAAAAGGTGAAAAAAAAAGCATCTAGATATGAAAAAAAAAAACTAAAAATGGCCGCTTTTCATGGCATGGCATGGCCATATAAAAAACGAAAGAGTATTTTAACGTTATTCAACCTAAACATAGACGCCGGAACTCAAAAATTGCTTTGGGTGTCCGGCCTCCATGCGGGAAATGTTGCTATCATCCACCCCCCTCCCACACCTTACTTAAGGGGGCGTCCATTAATTACGTGAGGTGTTCAAGGGGGAAAGGGGATCAAGCTAAATCTTTCCAAATCTCACTTGGGGGAGAGGGGGGTCTTTGTAAATCTGACGTAATTTTTTTCTAGTAGAAAACGGTGTCAAATTGCATGAAAGTAAAGTTAAATTAAAAGTAGAGAATGTTTCTAGAAATTTTATATTACGGCAATATTCTCAAATACTAGTCTTTGCTAGTCTTTTATAAAATTCATAAAAAGCTATTTTAAAGCGTTGATTTTATGAAAGTTTTCTTTAAAAAAAGGTATTGTCAAATGTCCAATTGCTGAATAGGCTGGAGGCTCCCACCTAAATAGGAAAATCTGGCATCTGGCAACCCTATATGCTCGGTGCAGCCACCACTGGTATTCAATGGAGCTGCGGTGCTAGAGTACCAATGAAATTAGTAGAAACACAACATAAAACAAAGGAGATTTTTGAAGTATTTTTATTTTCTGTAAAAGCTTACCAGTTACTCGAGTAAATGCTGGAAATGCTGACCCTGGGCCTCCATGCAATAACAGAGCTTTTGTTCAGAACGCTCTCGGACATTTTGGAGCATCTGTGGGGTGATTTGATGACATTCATCAATTATCCGTTGTCGCAGATTTTCCAGTGATGTTGGCTGGGTGACATATTTTAGTTTTCAAGTGGCCCCATAAAAAACCTGGAAACGTTTGATCCAAATACTGACGATCAGTGGTGCACCGTCTTGCTGGACTATTAAGTTGTTTGCTATGTACTGATCTTCATTCTCAATCAATTCTAGTAATGCTGGATAAATGGCGTTTCCTAATATTTCCAGATACATTTCTGCGGTTAAAGTTCCAAGGTAAAAAAAGGGACTAGTTATACGGTTACCAAAAATGCCAACCCAAACATTATTAGTTTTTCCGAAAGTTACGTATGCACTTCCTGAAATATTCTGAGATTTGAATCGGACCTATAACGACAGTTGTGACGATTTACCGTACCATTTAGAAAAAAGTGCATTCGTCTGAAAAAACACATGTTGAAAAGAAATTGCTGATTATTTATTGCCTGTTTAGTCATAATTTCACAAAATTGTAATCGCCTATCAAAATCGTCTTCGTTAAGTTCTTTTATCAGATGTATTTTGTTGGGATGAAACTTGTGTTTTCTCAATATCTTCTGAATGCTTCTTCTCTTAATACCAGATGTTATCGCCAACTATCTTGTACCCAATGTGGATTCTTGAACAACATGCCCTTAAATTGCCACCTCTGTAGCTTCATTTACTACGGCATTTTCCATTTCACGTTATTTGTTAGCTACGGCGACCAAAGAATGTCATCTGATAACAATAATTGATAGCCACCGAAATAAAATTAGAATTGTTACAAAGAATTCGTTTTTTTTTTTTTTTTTTTTTTAATAAAAATGTAAAAATTATGTTAAACCGGTTTTGTACTTTTGGTGAACCACTGTATGGGCTACATAGATAGTAGCGATGTAAAACTTGGAGGTTATTATCTAGGTAAAAATACCTTCAAAATAAGATATCATCTGACCTTAGATAAAAGAGACCAGAGATATAACATACACCGGTGTTGAACCTGCGCAAATGTTGCCAATTTTTAGAGAAAGGTTAACGGAGTGGGGGAACTGGGCGGCGACACGCGGCGACCCGAACTCTGTGGCAGGGACCGGACTTTGTTTATTAGCATCATAATGAACTATTAAATTTATTTAAAAGGTGTTTAATCGAATTTTGTATTATGAAATAAAATTAACGTGATTTTTTAATATCAAACAGATGCCACGACATTTTATGTAAAGAGAAGACCTTTAATAGAATATTTCGTTAGCGTTTATTTACTACGGACTTTTCTGCAAGAGATTACAGTAAAATGTTGAAATAGAATATATTATTGATAGAGCAAAAAATGTTACTCATTGTCTACGAGTATTATAAAAATAGCATGTGCGCAGGCGAATACTGCAAATCTAACCTTATGAGTTGAACATTATATTTTTTCTACGGCTATTACATAATAATAAAAATTAGTCAAAATGAGAAAATGCTGTTTTGTATTATAACCTCAGAAAAAGGTATGTTAAGGCTTCTTTCTTTAAGAATATTAATTATTATAAAGGATGAGTCACATAAAACTCTAGAAATGCATATGTCTGAAACCAGATAACATTTTAAAATTTAAATCTATTAATTTGGTCGCTAGGGATGAGTGATTATTGAAATAAATTATCGATCATTGAAAATAATCGATTATTTTCGATCAATCGATTATTTTCAAACAACGTATTTTTTTGTCATTTCCTTTAAAATTGACTACTTGATTATCTTTGAAAAATCAAAAATAATCGATTAATTAAAAAGCCAATTAACCGATAAATCAGTGTTTACAAAATATAATAAAAAAAGAATTATCGTTTATTTTAAATAATCGTTTATTTTAAATAATCGATTATTTTCAAATAAACCATTTTTTTTTTCGTCCGTGGAAACAGATTATTCGATAATTTTTAAAAAATCGAAAATAATCGATTAATCAAAAATAATCGATTAATTAAAAAGTCGATTAACTGATAAATCGATGTTCAAAAAAAAACAGAATGATCGACTATTTTAAATAATCGATTATTTTCGATCAATCGATTATTATCAATAATCTATTTTTATTGTATTACCTTTAAAATCGATAATTCGATTATCTTTGAAATACCAAAAATAATAGATTATTCCTAAATAATCGTCTGTCGAAAATAACTAATTATTTCAGAAGCCGATTCTACGATAAATCGATTTTCTAAAAAATAACCGAATTATCGATTATTTTCTAATAATCCATTTTTTTCGTCCATTGAAACAGATTATTTGAAAATCTTTGAAAAATCGAAAATAATCGATTAATCAAAAATAATCGATTAATTAAAAAGTCGATTAACTGATAAATCAATTTTCAAAAAAAAAACAAAATTATCGAATATTTTAAATAATTGATTATTTTTCATCGATCGATTATTATCAATAATCTACTTTATTGTATTTCCTTTAGAATCGATAATTCGATTATCTTTGAAATATCGAAAATAATCAAAAATTTCAAAATAATCGCCTAATCGAAAATAACCAATTAATTAAGCCGATTCTATGATAAATCGATTATTATCAATAATCTTTTTTATTGTATTTCCTTAAAATCGATAATTCGATCATCTTTGAAATACCGAAAATAATCGATAATTCCAAAATAATCGCCTAATCGAAAATAACCAATTAATTAAGAAGCCGATTCTATGATAAATCGATTTTCCAAAAAATAAAACGAATTATCGATTATTTTCTAATAATCCTTTTTTTAATATTTACTTTAAAATTGATTATTCGAATATCAAAAATAATCGATTATTAAAAAGCTGATTAACCAATAAATCGATAATTTTAAAAAATAACCAAAATATCGGTTATATAAAATAACCGATTATATTCAATCGAATAATGAAAAAACCGATTGAACGGAAATCGATTATTTTGAATAAATCTACTTTTTTTGTATTTAAAAAAACAAAAATAATTTATTAAAAACAGCGGATAAATCGATTTTCATAAAAAAATATCAGAATTATCGATAAATCGATTATTTTTGTAACCCCTATCGGTCGTTTGCTTTTATCCGAGCGTTTAGCTCAAAAATTTAGAGATTCGGATTTTTTGATCCCGTTATCTTTGAAACCGCATTCGATTGTATAATAAATAATAAATATTGCTAAATTTTGGATTTTTTTAGTAAACGAAAATTTTGTTCGAGTTGTTTAGGGGTTTGTAATGTAACATTTTATTAATGTGACCAACTCCCGTAACTTTAGTATTTTTTTTGCTTATACTAGATCATATGGTGCGTTTTACTTTGTTTTAAGACTGAAGATTCAAATGTCACTTTCGATTTGACCGCAAATAAGATGAACCTT